AAGTCACACAGCCTCTATAAGTCATAAGTCACACAGCCTCTATAAGTCAAAAGTCACACAGCCTCTATAAGTCATAAGTCACACAGCCTCTATAAGTCATAAGTCACACAGCCTCATAAGCCCTAAGTCACACAGCCTCTATAAGTCAAGTCAAACAGCCTCTATAAGTCATAAGTCACACAGCCTCTATAAGTCATAAGTCACACAGCCTCTATAAGCCATAAGTCACACAGCCTATATAAGTCATAAGTCACACAGCCTCTATAAGTCACACTGACAGTGCTTGAAGGCCCAGCAGGCGATGTGTCTAGACAAACAAAAGCACAAGCAGTGTTTGGAGCACTTAGATATCACAAAACATGCCAAAAGAAATGTTTATGGCGAATGTTTTTCAAAGTTTTGATTGTCGGGTGTTCCAGTTTGGTCCCATCCAGTTAGTGGCCGCCTGTCCCACGTCTCTTCTGGGAAATGCAGAATCATAATGTTCCTTTCTAATAGGAGTCCAAGCTTTAGACTCATATACTTGGCATGGGAAGCTTTGCCTCCCCGGGGTGGTCTTGACTTCCTGCACGTTTAGTCGTTAGTTTAGAGTTGGAGACATGGTGTTTGTGCTGTGCCTAGTGGCCTGTGGACGCTCGCTCACCTGTGTGCTTCTAGACGTCTAGTTGTGCTCGTTGTAGTGGGGCCGTTTCCTCTCCTCCGTCTAGACGGGCATGGAGGAGCAGACGTGTAAAATTGTGAGTGTGTTGCCCTCTCTGCCTTGTCCTCTACACACACACACACACACACACACGCGCACACACACACTCACACTCACTCACACACACACACAGACACTCACACTCACACACACAGACACACTCACACTCACTCACACACACACAGACACACATACACACATGCACACACACACACTCACACACACACTCACACTCACACACAGACACTCACACACACACACACTCGTCAAGCCCCCAGTTCACGTAGACTTGTAGTAGCTTGAACATCTGACTGTTGCTCCTTCCACACACCTGGTGTTACTCCTGGTAGACTGAGTCGAGGGAACTGTCCATGGTTGAGCCAGGACCAATGTCCTCGTTAAAAGATTTGGAAGTACAAGTGATGACTGATGGCCAGCCTGCTTCACTTGGGGTATTTTGTGTTGAGTTTGTTGTGAAGTGTTGAGTTTGTTGTAAAGTGAGCAGCTGTCAGATGGGGCAGCTGGCTCGCGGGCACGTGGAGATGGTTCACTTTGTGGTCTCTGCCCATCCAAACGACAAACGGAAATCATACCTCAGCTCATGTTTAGCCAATGTCTACCTCAGCTCATGTCTAGCCAATGTCTACCTCTGCTCATGTCTACCTCTGCTCATGTCTAGCCAATGTCTACCTCTGCTCATGTCTAGCCAATGTCTACCTCTGTTCATGACTAGCCAATGTCTACCTCATGTGTACCTCATGTCTACTACCTCTGCTCATGACTAGCCAATGTCTACTTCAGCATGTTTCAGTGAACAGAGATAAGAGTTGTGTGGCACTGGGATTGAAGAGTAGCATTCAGTCAGTCAGAGTTTCAGCTCATTGTAGAACTTAGTCTGTGTTCCTTGTTGCTTTGGGGGTTTTTAACTTTCTCTCTGGGGGCATACTGCCAAGTCTAAACAAGATTACAATTGCATGCGCACGCATGCATGCATGCACGCACGCACACACACACACACACACACACACACAC